AAATCAATCTTTATGATGGTCCTGTTCCATCAGTGTGGGGAATACGTCTCTTTTCAGTATTCTTAGTCCAAAGCTTAGTTGTTATATCTTTGATGGTGGATTTATGTGTTTGATGTTCTTATCTCTGTAAGTGCCGTTTGGCTCTTCTATTTGCCAGGGTAAAAAAGGTTGATTTTGTGCCTTTTTGACTGGGGCACTCAACTCCTCACGGGAAAGCATGACAGTGTTAGTAGAAGGGGAACTTGGTTGCGAAATGGAATTACTGGAAGCTGGATGATCTTTCCCAATTACTGAATGAGGAGAAACACTTTCAGAAGAGACAATCACTAGATTTGCCCAAGCTGGTTTTCCATATAGATCCCAGCAACTATCAATATTATGATTGGTACCATTGCAATACCCACAATGATGTGCTTCTCCACTTCCATGACCATGTCTACCACGGCACTATCACGATCACTACCACCATGACCTCGTGTACCACCCATATATCCTCCATTGCCACTAAAAGTACCACGACCCCTTGTAGAATTTTGACTACCAAATGAGGTCAACAAAGCTGAATTCTCTCTTCCAGTTGAGCTAGAAGATGATGATGATTCAGCACCCCGAAGTAAACGAGCATACACATTACCCAAAGATGGAAGTCCTCCATAGCTAGCAAGAATATGATTGCGAATAGATTGAAGATTGGTATCTAAACCGGCAAGAAAAATGGATACATAAAATTCCTCACGTTGTCTTTTAAGAACCTCAAGATCAGTCGTCAATGGGTGGTACTGATTTAACTCATCTTACAGTCCTTTGAAAGCACTATAATATTCACCTATGCTTTTGCTCGATTGTCGGAAAAGAAACATTTTCTAATACAAAGAGTAGAGCAAGAAACATTTTTGACCATAGAACAAGTGTCGTGAACAGCATCCCAAATTTCTTTGGCAGCGTTAACAAACATTAAATTAGCTCCAATTGAAGGTTCCATACTGTTCCACAGCCATGGCATGACCATGTAATTCTCGGTTTCCCAATCATTCAAGATAAACATAAATTTTTTCTAGCCCCTAAGGATATCTTAACTGCCTGAGGCCACAACAGGTAATTGGTGTTATTCAATTTAACAGTAGTATTTTTGCATCCCAACATGATCAGTGTAATTAGTAATTGCAGCAGAGGTTGCTTTGTTTTCACTAGGATCTGCCATGAGTCTAATAGCTTGCTGGGAAAAAAAAAAAAAAAAACAGGAGAAGCAGACAAGGTAACAGAACAACTGAACTGAACTGAACCTCAAAGTAGGTTAACCCGATCCTTTACAGTCGGGTCGGGTTGCGTCTCAGCAGATTTGTTGAACTCAACCTCCGGTGAACCACCACCCAGCAACCAGAACAAAGAAGACAGCAACCAAATTGAAAAAGCAGCAACAACAACGAAGAAGACAAGAACCAGCGACTAAACCACAACGAAGAAAACAGCAACCTGCAACTAAACCACAACGATAAAGATAGCAACCAGCAACTAATGATGATGATTGACGAAGACAACAACAGCGACTATCGAAGACGCACGATTGTGCAATCACAGACAATGACCTAATGATGCAGCAATGATTGCTACCACTCACTAATAACGTCTCTCAACACAAGAAAGAGCTAGGGTTTGAATGGCTCTGATGCCATGTTAAATTACAGAGAAAAACATTTGATTTTGGGGTATTCTCTTAATACGTGAGAGCCCTATATATATATATATATATATATATATATATATTTACAAGTATTGTCTATTTACATGAAAGCCCCAACTCTATGACTAATTACAATATTACCCAACAATTTTTATTTTTTATTTTTAAATTGTTGAAGAATTTAAATATGCTTAAGCTTTATAGTAGATAGTTGTTAACATAGTATTAGAGCCAAAGGTATCGAGTTCAAACCTCACCGTCCATGTGTTGGACCAAAAGAAGGCCACACATGAGGTGGGGTGTTGAAGGATTTAAATTAAATATATATATATATATATATATATATATATATTTTGATAAGTAAGTAAAATGTATTAAAAGCGCTCAAAAGGGGAGCGTGTCCCAAGGGAACCACACAGGGCCAAAAAGACCTCTAAACTTTCAAGGAGCCCACAAAATCTACAATCTCTCTAAATATCTATAATTTCTCCCCATAACCCAACAAAAAAGAGTAGAGATAATAGAGAACTTAACCATGGAGATAAGAGTCTCCTTTCCTTCAAAGGATCTCTTGTTTCTTTCGAGCCAAAGACACCACCAAACACACAATGGCGTAACCCTCCAAGCCTTAATCAACCCTCTAGAGGACCTTGGCCTAACCCACTAAACACCAAACAAACCAAGCATTAAATCCCAACACTCTTTAGCCATGGTGCAATGCAAGAGAAGGTGATCCACCGTCTCCTTATCTCTACGACACATGTAGCAACAATTGACCACAACCTGATTCCTTATCCTCAAATTATCCCGAGTCAAAATCTTCCCCAAAACAGATGTTTAAGCAAAGAAAGCCACCTTTAAGGGGGCTTTGGAACGCCAAACAGCCCTCCACGGGAATGGAACACCGAATCCCTCCATGAAACATCTATAGAAGGACCGAACATCAAAGTGACCCTGAGAAGCAGGGACCCACAACCATCCATCAGAATCTCCACTCATGATCTCCTGGTGACAAAGTAACTCCAAAAGACCAACGACGTCCTCAATCTCCCAATCCTGAAAGTGTCTCATGAAATGAACATCCCAAGACGATCTTCCGTTATCTAGACGATAACAGTCAACCACCATGGCTTGCCTATCCGTGGCAATCCTAAAAAGCCGAGGGAAAGAGAGAGCAAGCAAGCGGTCACCAAACCAAACGTCCTCCCAGAAACTGATCCTCCTACCATCCCTAAGCCGAAATTTGATGCGTTTCGAAAAAACATCCCATCCTTTCCGAATGAATTTCCAAACACCAACTCCCCCTGGAGTATGCACCTCAAGGGAACTCCAACCTCCTCTCCCCTCCCCAAATCTACTCGCAATTGCCCTCCTCCAAAGCCTATGTCTCTCCACCCCAAATATCCAAAGCCACTTCCCAAGGAGAGCCTTATTAAAAGGCACCATTCTTCTGATACCCAAGCCTCTGACACGAATTGGACAACAAACCTTCTCCTAGCGAACCAGATGGAACTTGAACTCCTCCCCCTATCCCCCCCAAAGAAAATTCCGCTGCAGCCTCTCAATCCTCTTAGCCATAGAATAAGGAATATGGAACAACGAAAGGAAGTAGGTAGGAAGACTTGAAAGTGTACTCTTCAATAAGGTGACCCTTCCTCCCTTAGAAAGATATTATTTTTTCCATCCCGTCAACTTTCTCTCGAACCTCTCCACCACAGCGTCCCAGCTTCCCACCCTTCTCGAGGATGACCCAAGGGGTAAACCCAAATAGGAGATAGGAAACGAACCAATGCTATACCCAAGAGCCCTTGCTAAAATCGTGATCTCAGGAACTTCCCCAACCTGCACCAAAACGCTCTTTCCCACGTTCACTTTCAGACCGGAGACAATTTGGAACCAAATCAGAACACATCTCAAATATCTCAATTGGGACACATCCGGGTCACAAAACACCAAAGTGTCGTCAACAAACATCAAGTGAGAAATCTCCAACTGACTAGCTGCATCCCTCCCCACCATAAAGCCTCCCAGAAAACCCAAGTCCACAGCCCTCCGCAGCAGTCTACTAAGGTCCTCCATCACAATAAGAAAAGAAAAGGAGAGAGCGGATCCTGCTGCTTCAAGCCCCTCGAATTGAAAAAAAATCCCGTCGGAGATCCATTCACAAGCACAGAGAAGCGAGGACTGCAAATGCAAAACTGAATCCATCGCCTCCATCTCTCACCAAACCCCATCCTTTCCAATAGATTGATAAGAAAACTCCAACTCACATGATCATAAGCCTTCTCAATGTCCAATTTACAAAGGACACCAGGAACCCCACTATACAATCTGGAATCCACACATACGCTAGCGATAAGGGTTGAATCCAAAATCTGACGGCCTCCCTCAAAGCCATTTTGAGAGTCTGAAGGATTTAAATATTAAAGTCCCACCCTCTTTAAATATTAAAGTTACACCCTCTCTAACAACTTAAGTTTTTAGAGTAGATGGTTGTTAACATAATCATACAAGCTTTCTCAAATATGGATAGTAATTCTTGATCCAAAACCACTTTTCCATTTTAAAAAGGATTAAGATGATAAACTTGCATCCTTAGGATGTTTTAATATGACTCACATTTTAACTTACAAGTGGCTATGAAGAAGATGATATTGCATTCCAAAAATTAAAATGTATGCCTTCTAATGTTTATACAAGAACATATAATGAATACATTATTCCATTTTGAGTTACAATGGCGAGGTGCATTTCTATTTTTTTGTTTTGTAAAATACTCCCTCTGTCCCAAAAAGAATGTCCATTTTTCCTTTTTGGGCTGTCCCAAAATAATTGTCCACTTTCCTTTTTCAAATAACATATTTCACATTTTTCCATATATGTCCTTGAAGTTTAAAATTTCAAACTTAAATATTCAAAACTTAAAAGGGGAAGTTAGTAACTTTCTAGTGGCACAATACATGGCCCGCAAATGCATATCCCCTTAAAAATTTTTACTCCCCAAAAAGGACATTCTTTTTGGGACAGAGGGAGTAACATTATATTCATGTGCAAAAAATTATGTTAATGAAGTTTCTGGAGGATAGGTTTGGATCATAAATTTATGAGTGGTGGGTAGCTTGATCACACTGCCTGTGAGCTTCCCCCGAGGTCATATGTTGGCCTTTAGACCATTGAACTACTTTGTTAGCACAATAGAACAAATGTTTTGATGTGTGTTTATCATTCTTAAGGCTGACAGATGGTTCCATTTCACCCAATAATTTTATTTCTCACAAAGTAAATTGATGCTTAAAATAAGTGATTTTCTGTTTTACAGGTTAAGGAACTCTCTTCTCATACTGCTTGCGTCAATGATCTTTGCTTTGACATAGAAGGTGAATACATTGGAAGCTGTTCAGATGATGGTACTGTTGTAATCAACGGTCTTTTTACTGATGAGAGAATGAAATTTGAGTATCATCGCCCAATGAAGGCCATTGCCCTGGACCCAGATTATGCAAGAAAATCATCCAGAAGATTTGCTGCTGGTGGTTTAGCAGGTCATTTATATTTGAACACAAAGAAGTGGATAGGCTACCGTGACCAGGTTTGTTCTTGGTTTCTTATATGTACCTTTATTGCTAAAATGATCGGAGTAAAAAATCCTTAGTAGGGATTTTTGGTTCCTGAGTAGGATATTTACTTACTTTCCAGGTTCTGCACTCTGGTGAAGGTCCAATTCATGCAGTGAAGTGGAGAACAAGTCTCATTGCTTGGGCAAATGAAGCAGGTGTAAAAATTTATGATGCCACTAACGATCAGCGTGTAACATTTATTGAGAGACCACGGGGAAGTCCACGCCCTGAGATTCTGCTCCCTCACTTAGTTTGGCAGGTTAGTTGAACATTAACATCAGCAGATTATTGTGATATATGCATGCATGAATGGAGGCACTGCAATTGCTGTGGGCTTGTAGTGATAGTCTAAAAGAACTACAACAGCAGAGTTATACTATTTATTTTGACAAATCCCAATCAACACTGGTGTAATAGTGTTAAATGCTTGCCATCACTTACTGTCATTCCATCACATTCAGGATGATACTCTCTTGGTCATTGGCTGGGGGACGTATGTGAAAATTGCATCGATAAGAACAAATCAGAGTAAAGATGCCAATGGGACATATAGGCATATTCAGATGTCTGGAATGAACCAGGTGGATATCGTGGCATCTTTTCAAACCAGCTATTTCATTTCAGGAATTGCTCCTTTTGGTGATTCTTTGGTTGTTCTAGCTTATATTCCGGGCGAAGAAGCCGGAGAGAAGGAATTTAGCAGCACTGCTCCATCACGCCAGGTAATTGTCTTCCTTAGTAGCATTTAGTGAAGCATGGAAAATCGTATTTCTGACTTTACACACTCTAATTTTGGACTAATTTTCAGGTTGAAATCAGATTTTTTTTTGCCTCAATGCTTTGGTTTTTTTGTCTCAAGACAAATCTTTTCTTTTTATCCTTCATGATTGGATATGGGCTTTTCCTTCTCTCGTCCCTTTACTTTTTTGGGATGGGATTAATTTTGGCACAATGCCACCCCTTTTTTTTTTTTTTTTTTTTTTCTGGTAGAAGGCGACAAGATGCTTTCAGTGACTCTTTGCAGAATAGTGAGAAAGATGTGATAATTTCTAAGATGTGTGAATTTATTCTAAGCAGGGAAATGCTCAGAGACCGGAAGTACGTGTTGTTACATGGAATAATGATGAGCTTGCAACAGATGCACTACCTGTACACGGCTTTGAGCATTACAAAGCAAATGACTATTCCCTTGCTCATGCTCCATTCTCAGGTAAAATGTACCTGCATTTATAAAATTCACATTCAAGGAGTGACAACACTTGTGTGTTTTAATGCAGGTAGCAGCTATGCAGGTGGTCAGTGGACTGCTGGTGATGAACCATTATACTATGTTGTATCCCCAAAGGATGTAGTTATTGCAAAACCTAGGTTAGTATAAAAACGAATTCTGTTTTATGAGCTTCTGTAGCACATGAATTTTCCATTGATAATATATTTCATTGATGCATTTGCAATCTATGAAGTAAGAGAGATACTTTTTTATTTGGTAATTTTTCGCTGCTTAATAAGAAGTAAGAAAGGTATTCCTTTTCATTTGACAATTTTGTCTCTGCTTAATATGAAGAAAGATATTCCTTTTTCATGATATGATTTGCATGCTATTACTGGGATGGGCACTCGGGAGGGACAATGGAAGGGGATCTGGGTATTGTTCCGTGGGATGGTTGTGAGCCTCCGGAGGATGATCTGTATGCTCCTTTAGCAGCTGTGGGTCCTGAGGGAGAGAGCGTGTTCACTGCTGATGCTGAGGGAGGAGGAGGTAAGGATGAAGATTGGGTGAGGGGAAAGGGTGTGGAAGTGGGTCTTCTGCTGGGAGTGTCTTTTGAGGGAGAAAATGACATGGTTGTGAGCATGTTTCATGAGGTCCTGAAAAGCCAACAGAAGGGAGGAACTGGAAACAAGAGGAGACTTCCTTCTGAAAAAGGGTTGAGGGAGATGCGAAACCACTTTACGAATGTCAATTATGAAGAGGGACGAGTGGAGGGTTTAGGGAAAGCGGGAGAGGGAAGAGGAGAGGGAAAGAGACTTCAATTGTTTTCCTATGAAGCTACGCATTTTATCATGGAACATCCGGGTTCTTAATGATTCGGACAAGAGGAAGGTGGTAAAGTTGCCTATTCGTAAATGGGGAACGCATGTGGTATGCTTGCAGGAATCTAAACTTGCTTCGGTGTCGGTTGAGATTGCTAAAAGCCTTTGGGGTGGGAGATTTGTGAAATGGAAGGCTTTGGATGCTACCGGCACTTTGGGGGGTGTTCTTGTTTTGTGGGATTGTAGATGGGTTTCTATGGTGGATTCTTGGGCAAGATGGTTCTCTTTGTCGTGTGTTTCTCTTTGGAGGAGGATGGCTTCCGATGGGTCTTCTTAGGTGTCTATGGCCCAACAGAGGATAATGTTCGTCACCTGTTTTGGGAGGAGCTTAGCTATCTAAGAAGGAGATGGTCTTTGCCTCGGTGTGTTGGAGGGGACTTCAATGTGGTGTGTTCTCCCTTAGAGAGGTCAACGGGGGTCAGTGGACTTCGGATATTGAGTAGTTTTCAGGCTTTATTGATGAGTTCTAGTTGATTGATTTTCCTTTAGAGGGAGCGACATTCACTTGGTCTAGTGGCAGATGGTCTCCTACTCTCTCTCTCGCTTGGATAGATTCCTTGTATCCGGGATTGGGAGGAGAAGTTTCCAGATGTGATTCAGGCGGCTCTGGCTCGACCTACCTCAGATCATATTCCTTTAGTTTTGGATTGTGGTGGGAATGCGGAGTAGAAGCTCACCCTTTAGATTTGAGAATATGTGGTTGCGTGCTGAGGGTTTCAATAACAAGGTCTGCTCTTGGTGGGAAGGGTACAGGTTGGTTGGCACTCTAAGTCATATCCTTGCCGGAAAATTAAGGCTCTTAAAGGAAGACATCAAGAAATGGAGCAAAGAGGTCTTCGGGAATTTGGAGTGGAGGAATAACCGAGCTTTCTCCGAGATTGCAGAGATTGATTTTAAGGAGGGGCTGGGAAACCTGGAGGAGTCCTTGAGAAGTAGGAGGCTGGAGTGCCAAGCTGAAATTGCTGAGATTGCTATTATGGAAGAGATGTCGTGGAGGCAGAAGTGTAGAGCCTTGTGGCTTAAAGAGGGTGCTAAAAATACGAAGTTTTTTCATAGACTTGCCAACGCTCATAGAAGGATTAATCATATTGGGAGGATGCGGGTGGAAGGGGAGTTGTCGTGCAAAGATTAGGAGATTTGTAAGATGATTGCTGATTATTATCAGAAGTTGTTCACAGAAACCTCTTGCTGGAGACCTTTGCTTGGGGGGCTTCAGTTTGGCACTATTTCTGGCGAGGATTGCATCGGTTTGGAGGAGCCTTTCTCGGAAGAGGAAGTGTTGAAGGCTTTGAAGAGTTGCAATAGGGACAAAGCGCCCGGTCGGGATGGTTTTTCCATGCGTTTTCGCCTTGAGAGCTGGGAGGTTATTAGAGGATGGGCACTTTTCATGCCCAGGGGTGGTTTAAGAAATGTCTTAATACTTTTATTGCTCTCACTCCAAAGAAAAGAACCGAAGGGGGGTGGGGGGGAGGCACTTGATGTTTCAGTTTGGTTGGAAGCATTTATAAACTGATTGCCAAAGTCCTTCCTTTGAGATTGAGGAGAGTTATTGATGGGGTTATTGATGATTCTCAAAATGCCTTTGTTGGAGGCCGCCAGTTTCTCGATTCGGTGCTTATCACAGGCGAATATGTGGATTTCAGATTGAGTAGTGGGGCCTTAGGTGTTCTATGCAAGTTGGACATTGAGAAGGCATATGACACTATGACCATGTAAGTTGGAGTTTCCTTCTCTCTTTGTTGGAGAGGATGGGGTTTGGTGAAAAATGGAGGAAATGGATTGAGTTTTGCATTTCCAGTATGCGTTTTTCGATCCTTGTGAATGGAGCCCTAAAGGGGTTCTTTCAAAACTCGAGGGGTTTGAGGCAGGGGGATCCTCTTTCTCCCTTTCTCTTCCTTATTGTGATGGAGGCGCTCTCTAGATTGATGAGGAGGGCGGTGGAGCTAGGATTTACGAGAGGATTTAGGGTGGGGAGGGATACGACTAATCAGTTGGAGGTCTTTCATTTGATGTTAGCTGATGACACTTCAGTTTTTTGTGATGCGGAGGTGTCCCAGATTAGATTCCTGAGATGTGTCTTGATTTGGTTCCAAGTTGTCTCTCGCCTGAAAGTGAATGTGGGGAAGAGTGTTTTGGTGCCGGTTGGGGAGGTATCTGATATTGTTGCGTTAGCTGAATGCCTTGGTTGTTGCATTGGTCATTTCCTATTTCCTATTTGGGCTTGCCTCTTGGATTGTCTTCAAGGAGGGTGGGATGTTGGGATTCCTACCTATTTCCTCTCTTTTCCAAATTCCCTCTTCTGTGGTGGAGAGGATTGAGAGGTTGCAGCGAAATTTTCTTTTGTTTGTTTTTGCCGCCGCGGGGGGGGGGGGGGGGGATATCATCTTATTTGATGGGATGAGGTCTGCACTCTAGTTAAGGGTGGTGGTTTGGGTATTAGAAGAGTGGCTCCCTTCAGCAAGGCTCTCTTGGGGAAGTGGCTTTGGCGTTTTGGGATGGAAAGGCACAGGCTATGGAGAAGGGTGGTTGCGAGTCATTTCGGGGAAGGGAGTGGAGGTTGGACTTCCCTTGAGGTATGCTCTCCAAGCGGCGTTGGGGTTCGAAAATCCATTCGGAAAGGGTGGGATGATTTTTCTAAACACATAAGATTTCGACTCAGGGATGGAAGGAGGATTCGTTTTTGGGAGGATGTTTGGTGTGGGAATTGCTCTCGAGCTCTCACCTTCTCCCGTCTCTTCAGGATTGCCATAGATAGACGTGCCATGGTGGTTGATTGCTATCGTCTTGATAGTGGAAGATCGTCTTGGGATGTTCGTTTCAGAAGGCACCTTCAGGACTAGTAGATTGAGGGCGCCTGTAGTTTGTTGGACTTGTTGTATCATCGGGAGATCATGGGTGGAGTTTTTGATTCCTGGAGTTGGGTTCCTTCATCTCAGGGGCATTTTTCTGCTTGGACTTTCTTTAGTTGCCTGAGTTAGATGCCAAGGGCTGTGTTTCCATGGAAGATAGTTTGGTGGTCCAAAGCCCCTTTAAAGGTGGTTTTCTTTGCGTGGACTGCTGTCTTGGAAAAGATCTTGACTCAGGATAATTTGAAGAATAAAAAATTAAATCGTAGTCAATTGTTGCTCCATGTGCCTTAGAGATGAGGAGACGGTTGATCACCTCCGTTTACATTGTCATGTGGCCAGGGATTGTTGGGACTTGTGGTTCAGATTATTTGGGGTTCAGACTGTTCAGTGGGTTATGCCCTAGGTCTTCTAGGGGTTTTATCCAGGCTTGGAAAGGGAGTATAGTGGGGGCCCAAGTCTGGGACATTTGGAGGTCTACGCCTTTGTGCGTTTGGTGGTGTTTATGGCTTGAAATAAATAGGAGATCCTTTGAAGGAAAGGAAACTCCTATTCATGTGATGCAATCCTCCATTATTACCACTCTTTTTTGTTGGGTTGTGGGGAGAAACTATAGATCTTTAGAGGAGATAGTTGATTTTTTGGGCTCTTTGAGAGTTTAGTGGCCCCATTTGGCCTTGTGTAGTTCTCTTGGGATGTGATCCCCTTCTGATTGTTTTCTACTACATTCTTATTTAACAAAAATAAAAATAAATTATAGGAATAATTTTTGCTCATTATTTGCTATAAGTTTAATAAAACATCAAATGATGTACCTTTTTTTTTTTCATAATTGGTTTTGTATAAAAAGAAAAAAGAAATATATACAAGTGCAAAGAGGGCATACCCTCGGTAAATATTACTGGAAAGAACAAAATCTAGACAAGGAATCATTTCCAGTAAAATAAAAAGAAAACAAAGGAGTGGAAATTATATAATGTCTCTAAGTGAGACATTATAAACATCAAGGACTTCTAGCAAAATTTTCCTAGCCACCTCTGATGTAGTACTAGAGCTGTGTCCATGTAATCTTTGATTTCTTTGTTACCAAATACTCCAAAAACCAGCTACAAGTATAGTGTGTAACATTTTGCTGGTCTGAAATGGGAACCATAGCAGCAAATCATCCACTGAGTTAATAGAAGTTAAGTCCATATTCCAACCAAGAGTATCCTTCAACCAGTTCCAGAAATTCTTAGCAAAAGGGCATTGGACAAAAACATGATTTCTGGTATCAATCTGCTGTTGACAATTAGAGCATCTAGGAGCCAGCTGCACACTCCTCTTCTGCAGATTAAACATTGTAGGTAACCTGTCTTGGAACAAAAATACTCCAAAGATTGACCATCTAGGTCTAGATTTCCCCCAACAAATCTTGGACCATATACCCTCTGGGTTAGTTGTTCTACATCCCTTCCAAGCTTTTTTGAAATTAAACTCACCTCCATTCCACAAAAGTCGATCTGGTCTAGCATGAATAGACAGTGTGTGCAAATAATCTTTAATACGCTTGAAGATTTCGTCCTGTAAGAGACTAAAATTCCATCTTCCTTCTATGATGAGACTTGACAAAGGAGTAGACCAAGAGAACCCCAGCCTTACCTTTCTATGCCCAAATTTCTGCAACAAAGTTTCCCCTTCACACCAAGGATCTGTCAAGACTTTGAATATATGCCCAGGTCCAATAGAAAATTGAATATTTGTCAGCATTATTTCCCTAACATTTACCAAGGTTTCCCACAGAATTGAGTGAGAGGTCTTCGGTATTGCATTCCAGTTTGTTGAGTTAGAAGCATACTTGTTTAACTTGAATAGTAGGCTCCTTATCATTAATGAATATCCAAATTTGGATTTTTTATTGAAATGAAAAAATAGAGAAGGTGGTTAAGGGGAAAGGTAGAAAAAGACAGGAAGTTGAGTCAATTATTTGTTACCCTTATGAACGGATTTTTGTTAAATGGTTAATTTCCAGATATACGATATTTGTAAGTCGGAGTGGATAGGGTAACATAAAAGAATTTGCCAGTTATTGGGCTCCATTATAAATGGCAGAAATATGTGAGAAATATAAAGGCTCCGACCCCACACCCTAAAATATCGGCTATAGGAGTTCTCTCCCCCCCCTCCCCTACCGGAAGAATGACACTCTTCCCAAGATTGGCCTTTACACCCGACACAGCCTGAAAACACACTTGGACAAAATGAAGAGACCTTAACTGGGCCTTGTCCGCCTCACAGAAAACAATCATGTCTCCAGGGAAAAGAAGATGAGAAATCCCCATCAGACTAGAGAAATACCTGCCCACTCTAAAGTATCCCATCAATATGCTAAATGCCTCAATCACAATGATGAACAAAAGGGAACAATGGGTCCCTCTGCTGCAGTCCTCGTGAGCTGCCAAAGAAACTGTAAGGCACTCCATTCACCAACACTGAGAATCTCTCGGTGGAAATGCAACACTAGATCCATCTCCTCCACCTCTCTCCAAAGCCTATCCTCTCTAGCATGTATAGCAAAAAATCCCTACTCACATGGTCGTAAACCTTCTCAACCCCCTATCCTTGTGGGTAGTTAAGTTTGAGATGCTTGGAGGGAAACCCCCTATGCTTGTGGTGGACTTTGTGGCATGAGAGGAATAGGAGATCCTTTGAAGGAGAGGAAGCTCCTATTGGGTGTTAAAACACTGCATCTTGAGTTCTCAATTTTTTTGGGGTATAGAGGTGGTATTGTAAATTTAGAGGATGATGTAGGTTTTGTGGATGGTTTGAGAGTATAGTGGACCTTTTGTGTGTTCGTGTGCAGTTCTGGTCGTTCCTCTCGCGAGCGCTTTTTTATTTTTGGGGTAAATAGGTGGTATTGTAAATTTATAGAGGATGGTGTAGGTTTTGTGGATGGTTTGAGAGTATAGTGGGCCTTTTGTGTGTTCTTGTGCAGTTTCGGTCGTTCCTCTTGCGAGCGCTTTTTATTGAAATTTACTTCTCAATATATTATATATATATATGCATGTTACGTATGTTTCATGTCTTCATATGTGGACAATATTAAAAAAGGTTGTTTCAACTATAAAATATCTAGTTTTTAAACTTCTTGGAACCTTTATTATATATATTTTTATATATTTTTTTTATAATGATACAAACTAAGATGTTATTTTCTGCAAATTGCTCTTAGGAATCATCATTTTTTGATTTTATGTACAGACAATGAAATAAAAACCTCTGGTTTAATTCTAGTTCATGTTCCTCTTTGAAACTAAAGGAAAAAAAAAAAAGTAGGGCAAACCCAGTGCACAAGGTGCCCGTCATTGCCTCCATTGCAGAGTCTGAGAAGGGTCAGATGTACATTGCCTTACCTCCGCATGCAGAGAGGTTGTTTCCGTGTTTCGAACCAGCGACCTCCAGGTCGCAAAGCAACAACCTTATCGTTGTGCCAAGGCTCACCCTCTTCTATTTGAAACTCTTTTTGATAATTATATAAGATAAAACATTATCATACAAATTGCTTGTATGAATCATTGATTTTATTTTTATTAATTTATTAATTTGAACTAAATAAAACTGCTGCTTTAATGGTGAATTATTTTTTTAAGAGTTAGAAAATTGTTATACCTATTAAGGAAAAGTGCAATAAACCCCCTTTAACTATTGGTAAACATGCAAAAAAAACCCCTGAACTACAAATTATGCAAATAACCCCTTGAACTATGCAATTTTTTTGCAGATGGCTCCTTCTGGCTAACTTCTATCCAAAATTGACCATGTGACATAGAAACTGAAATTTATGGACAATAATGCCCTTTGAAAATTAGAAAGACCACATAGCCCTTTTGTGACTTTTTGGCTAACTACAACACCTCATCTCTGCCTTCTTCTATCTATCTATATATATATATATATATATATACACACACTTCACGTGCTTGTATAATTCTTCCAAAAAATTGAAGAATTTCCAAAAAATAGTGTTAAGAAACAATTGATGGCATCGGATTCAGCAACAACGATAGTTGTGGCCTCAATCACTGCCTGGTATTCGTCATCAACCGTAATCGCTGATTGTCATCACCAATCGTTGTTGTCCATCATCGTCGTGGATCGCCGTCGGTGCCTTCGTTGTTCGTTGTCGGCATTGCTGTGTCCAGTGCTTGTGGATTTTGACCCACCTGTTGAGACCCAACCTGACTGGATTGCAGAGGGTTCAACCCTAATTTTTGAGTTTTTTGCGATGAAGAGAATTTCCAAATTTGATTTTGTTTCTCTGTGATTCTCAACTCTTGACAGATTAAATTGCCCCTTTTGTAAACACAAATAATTAGGGCAAGAGGTTTCCAGAATTTGCAGCAAGAGAGATCATAGCGGTTTCACAGCTATGGTTTTAGTGGTTGCGAGAAGGACTTGCAACGCTCTGCAATTGTGTTGGTATGTGGTTTACAACCCTATAAATGAAGGGTTAGGTCAGTTATGTGTTGGTTATAGCGTGGAGAAATTTTCATGGGGTTGACAACCTTGTTGCATCTTCTGACAAATAATCATGAATTTTCAATTCAAACCAAGGAGCTTCATATACAAATCGAACGAAACCTCAAACCATCTGTTTCGGCGGGCTCCGAGCAGCAGTGTCCATTGAAGCTGGCGAGTTTTGAACCGAAGCTGTTTGAACTGAACTTGAGAAGCGACAAAACCCAAAGAGCATCAACAGTCAATCCATCGGAAAAGCTTCAACGAGCCCAAACCATGAGTTTCAGACATACCTAGGAACTTCAACAATCAGCTCCGGCACGCCACAGTTTCAGACGACGTATAATGAATGAATGGAAAGAGATAAGTTGTGCGGTGATAATGTTGATGACGTGTCAAACTTTTAGTGGTTAGGCCACATCATTTTAGTCTCTTCAAGGTGTGTTGTTGAATTTTTATTCGCCCCTTGGATTTCACTTTACAACTAAGCAACTTATGTGACTAATGCTTCAAACTATGTCGTTTTAATTGAGGGTAATGTCGTCTTTTGGCTTTTCCGGCACCCTCTTGTTGAACTGATGGGGTTAAATGCAACAATTTGTTAGTTCAAGGGGGTTTGTTGCAAAACCCCAATAGTTGAAGGGGGCACTTTTCCCTACTTATTATACAAATTAAGTAGCATTTTTCCATTATTTGACGAGTTTAATGAATTCAGGTGTATATTGATTTAAAGTGAGTGGATGGCCTAAAAATTGATATCAATTTGTGTTATGCTAAGGTTAAGAGAATTGAAGTGCATTTTTTATTTTGCTTCGATAGTTTTGCTGCCATAATGTTGTCTCCTTACAGCTGTACCGTATAAGTTGAAGGATTGTAAGTTTATGTTATTTGTAAATTTGAAGTGTTTTTGATTGTTAGGGATGCAGAAGATCATATTTCTTGGCTTCTTCAACATGGATGGCATGAGAAAGCTTTAGCAGCTGTTGAAGCTGGACAGGGGCGGAAGGATCTTCTTGACGAGGTATTTTTGTTTATTTTATTTATTCTTGGTGGTGTTACATCCTAAATAAAATTATTGATGGTACTAAATTTTTACAAAATAACCTGTGATAAAATTACTATAAATGTTAAAAGTTAAATTTTGTAGGAGATGAGTTGTAATAGAAAAGAATGGAAAAAGAGAATTCCTGTGGCTTGGGGACTAAGGCAAGGATGATGATGAAGATTGTATTACTTCCTAAAGAAAATATATTGATATACATACTCAGCAAATCATATTCCAACAAATTGTTATAACATTTTGGTTCGGCCATCCTCACTTATAATTTTCTCTGATGCTTTTTTGCTTCTTTGTGTGCGCAACTGAGAATCATATTGAAATAAGAGAAGGGAGAATGTGAAGGAAGGACGAGGTATTGTCCATGGAGACAAAGAGAAGAAAACCAGAACAAAAAAAAAAAAGAAAAAAGAAAAAAAGAAAAAAGAAAGAAGAACATTTAGCTTGTAGTATATTTGTAATAAGACCAAAACCTGCTAAATTAAAAAGCCCAAGGGTTTTAAGTTTTAGTGCCCTCCAAAGAGTTGAAGCATCTTAGCCCTCCTCTCGCTAAAGAATGTGCCTCATTGTCACCCGTCTACCTTTGTCTTGGTGGCTTTGGGTCTTAACTCCCAAGCCTCAAGGCAAGGTTTCAAGGCTGGTTGAGAGAAGAAAGAAGGGAAAAAAATGCTCCATTGGGCATTGGCTTACTGATGATTATTTCATTACAATTTTTCATGATTTTATATCTCTACAGTTTTTTTTAATATTTCATTACCTTGTTGTTATGTAGAACAATAATTACCTGACTTGACCATTCAGCAATTCATCCTAGAACCTAAGGTTTGTGATTGCATTTGCTGGTAACCTATTTTTATGGCAACAATGTAACATGGTCTCTCTCTCTCTCCTCTTCTCTTCTTGTTGGAAGCCACTTCTATGTGAAGTATCAGTTTTGCCAATGGTCGCGAAAAAGTACCTAAAATTATAACCATGAAGCATCCATTTTATTTGTGCATATATTGACGCAGGACAAGTAGTAACCAGAAAGAAAGAAAGAAAGGGATGAGAAAATAGAAGAAATAGACTAGAAGAAGGGAATGAGAAAACAGGTGAAGTGGGGGTGAGAATAGAGTGAATAGATAGACATGACAGACTGAAATGGTTGAGAAAAGCAAGAACAAAAATGGGAGAAGGAACAGAACACATAGAAAGAACTGAGGGAAAGCAATAATCAATAATCTCCAAAATTGAATTGTTTGATTACAAAGGAGTCTTTATATAGGCAAAATCATAACAGAACCCTAAATAATAAAATACTAAAATGTTTGTTTTAAAGCATAAAACGGAAGTGAAGAGATAAATGAAACGAGAAAAACACAAATATTACGTGGTTCAGCCACTAGGGCTTCCATCCACGGCACCAGTGTTATTAAAAGCGCGCCTGGCCGCGCGCCTAGGTGCAAGGCGCCTACAGGCGCAACTTATGCGCCTCATGTAAGCCCAGGTGCAGCGACCTTCACTAGGCGCGCCTGGGATGCGCCTTGGGGCTTTTATCTAAGCGCGCCTCATGTATTCTGTAGCTCCTTTTATATATTTTATGTGTTTCCTTTTATGTATTATGTGTTTACTTTTATTCTTTATATTATTATGTATTAGTATATAGTTACAGCCTTTTGGAAACTAAAAAGCCTTTTGGAAACGAAAAGCACAAAATGGAAACTAAAAGTACAAAATGGAAAATTTGTCGTCTTGTGAGTTGTGAGGCAACCCAATGGGTCCCAATAGTCAACAAAACAAATCAATCAAGAGCAAAAGCTACAGAAGAAAGAAAGACGTGAGGGAGTGGGAAAGAGAAGAGAAGAGAAAGAAAGAAAGAGAAGAAAGGGCTATCAGTTGCCTCCATCCGACGAAGGCGAAGCCAGGAATTAGCCTACCAGGTCAGTTCAGTTATTTTTTCCTCCTCTTCCTCTTTTCTTCTCTTCTCTTCTTCTTCTTCTTCTTCTTCTTCTTTTTTTTTTTTTCTGGGTCTCTGTTTTTCTTCTTTCTTTTTCTCCAGTCTCTGTTTTTTTTCTTCTTCTTTCTTCTTCTTCTTCTTCTTTTTTTTTTTTTTCTGGGTCTCTGTTTTTCTTCTTTCTTTTTCTCCAGTCTCTGTTTTTTTTCTTCTTCTTTCTTTTTCTTCATCTACTCCTCTCCTGTCTGTCTCTCTGTATTTTTTTCTCGTGAACATTTTTTTTTCCCCTTCATCTACTCCTCTCTCTTTCTTCTCTCTGGCCTTCATTTTTTTCTCCTTCATCTACTCCTCTGTTTTTTCTTTTTTTCTTTCTTTTCTTCATCTACTTCTTATCTTTCTTTCTTTCATTTATTTATTTATTTATTTTTTTTCAATCTCTGACCTTTTCTTCCTTTTTCTTCCTCTAATCTCTATCTCATTTTTTTTCTCCCTTCTTCTTTGAAGGCTGTCTGTCTCTTTTTTGTTGTTGTTGTGTTCTGTTTTTTTCTTCTTTTGAATGCAATTTGCTGAATTTTGCTACATGCTGTTTGCTAGATTATTTAAATTTTGAATGCATCTTTCTGAATGCTGTTTGCTGAATAGTCTGAATGTTGTTTGCTGAATGTTTGTTTGCTGAATTTAACTTGGTTCATCACACCATTGACTCCATTCTATTTCTCATTGTAAATAGATAGGAAAAAATGTCGAAGGATCCAGCTTGGAATTATTGTCGCCTAGAATTAGTTTAATTGTTCTATTTTACAGGTTGCTTTATTGGTTTAATTGTGATATATTTAGTGTTTTTATTATTGGATGTTCATTGTTTAATTGTGTTATTTTTGCTGAGAATTATTGTTTTAAAATTTTACTTGTGCGCCTCACATCACTCAAGTGTGCGCCTCGCGCCTAGGCTCCAAGGACCTCTAGCGCCTCGATGCGCCTTGGGCTTTTAATAACATTGCACGGCACAAAGTGCCCAAAGGGCTACATCACTTTTATAATACTCTCTCAATTCTTACACAATACAATGGTGGAGGCTCCTTTATATAAGAGAAGAAATTATGAGAATGGAAAGAATTAGAAAATAGGAAACAAAGAGGATTTTTCTTCACTGATTGTTCTAGTAACACCAAATATTCAATAATAGGAAACAATATCAATTACTGAAAGATTTTCCTCCACTGATTCCCCCATTAAATCTTCAATGATGTCCTTAAAATTAAAACATTACTAAAAATAACCATAAGTATTAATAAAACCCTAATTCTATCTTTCTTTTCCTCTTCTCCAATGATAAGTGCGGGTCATATGTGGTTCTAGTTCTTGGGTTATGCCTCGTTCTCCATCAATTCTCCTCCCCTGATGAGAACTTTTCTCCGAAAAGTAAAACGGAAAGTACTGCTCTAAAAAACTCGGATCAACATGGCAAACTCATCGGGACTGCATATCACATTTGAAGTTGGATAACACATCCATCGTGATTCACTCTGATGGTCAATAACATCCTTAAGCCATTTCAAATGCCATAGCTGACATAATGCGATGACAAGTGCTGCTGCTGAAGAAAATATAATGCCACCCGTAGAAGCACAAGCTAACAACACAAGAGGCTCAAAGGTATCTCGGTTAGGCATTAGATACTCCACATGAAAAATTGGACTAATACTAGTATCTGTTGACAAGTCAAATTAACATGCATTAGGTCCTGACTTATAAGTGATGTGGAAATGTTGAATGCCTTGGGCTTCCCATGCATTGAAGGAGTTATAAGGATAAGGTGGTGGTGGTGCACAACTTATAAGAAATCTCCTACCAAGAAGTCATGATTCCTATGATGAGCACATGCAATAAATTTATAATTTTTATTATTCAAAATGATTTGTTGTCTTATATCGGCCTGATGCTCATGGACATACTCAACAAAGGATTCAGAAATTTTAAATGAACAAGCATATGAAGACATAGGTTTAAGGTTAATGGACTGACGAGGAAGACAATCATATGTAATCTTAGGGCATTTGTTAGATGACCAATTGACCAAACAAAGATAGACATACTCCATAAGAGGCAACAATGAGTTCCCAATATCTACATATGCTCCCTCGAGACACTGAATCAACTTTCCTAGACTTTGCTCAACAATTTTAAATTTTCTTTTAGTTTGAGGACAAAATGCGGAGAAAGATTTCAAATTGGTGCCCATAAATTCGAAAGTGTTTTCTAAAAATAGCTTGCATATTTAACGTCCCTATCTGAAACAATAGAAGTGCGCAAGTCATGAATTCTAACATACTCTACATGATTATATAGAATGGGATGACGTGGGACACTAGATTCTGGTGGTTGAGACTTACACATCTCCAAATGGAACATAGACAACTTCTTTTGCCATATCTTTTGCTAACATGATTTCGTCAAGGTTGAGGAGAAGTCCTATGCAGTGCTCTAGATTCCCTTCCTAATGGCTTTGTTGGTTTTGCAGGGTTTAACCTGATAGTTTTACCATTGCACTTGAAGACATAACTATTGTCTCTACTCTCTAGTAGAATGGATTGCACAAACATTGTTAATCCAAGGACAACCAAGTATTACATGGGCTACCTCTGTAGGTAGGATGTCACACCATATGCCATCAAAATAGTCACCCATTTGAATAGGAACTAGACATCTCTCTATGACTATCAAGGAAGTCCCATTTTTCCAGGCTATCTTATATGGTTGCGGATGAGGCTCGAGTTGAAGCCTCATTCTAAAAACACCTTATTTAGACATTGCATTTATCGAACTTCCTTTGTCAATGATGATTTGACAATTCCATACATTTGAGAAATGTACAAAACATGTGTTGGAGTTATGTTTCAAATTAATTAGCAATTAAATTACTACAACTCCACCTGGAGTTTTAATGAAGTTTAAGTGAAGTTTTACTGAATTCTTAATGAAGTTCCAGTTACACCTGATCTATTAAAGTACCTTAACTAATATGCAATTT